AGACTTTGGGTTTGGATGTTTGAGTAATGGTGGAACTCTTAAGATTATGAGAACACTTGGAAATAGATTAAATGCATTTTGCCAGGGATGGGGGTACCAGGGATTAAACTCTGGGGCACTCAACCACTGAGCCACATTCCCAGCTCTGTTTTTGTATTTTATTTAGAGACAGGCCTTTCCATTGCTGAGACTGGCTTTGAACTCACAATACTCCTGCCTCAGCCTCTCAAGCCACTGGGATTACAGGCATGCACCACCATGTATTTTGAATTGTGAGATGGGCATGAGCTTTTGGGGGACAGAGGTAGAATGTTATGGTTCTTATATGTGGCCTCATGTGTGCGATAATGCAAGAACATTCAGAGGTGAAATGATGGGGTTAAGAGAGTTTTTAATCTAGTCAGTGTAATAATCCACAGATATGGATTAACTGAGCCATAACTGTAGGCAGATAGGATGTGGTTGGAGGAGGTAGGTCACTGGGGACTGCCTTCAGGGTTTATATTTTGTCCCTGGTGAGTAGAGTGCTCTCTCTCGCTCTCCTTCCTGGTTGCCCTGTCTTGAGCAGCTTTCCTCCTCCACAGTTCTGCCTCACCTCAGACCCAGAGCAATGGAGGTGGCCATCTAGGAACCGAGACCTCTGAAACCATGAGTGCCAAATAAAACTTTCCTCCTCTGAAATTGTTCTTGTCAGGTCTTTTGGTCATAGCGGTGGAAAAGCTGACTAAAATAAAGGGATAACAAAAAGTAGATGAAATTTTGAGATCAGATGGAAGTCCACAAATAGAAGTAATTGTTGCTTCTGGATTAATTAGATTTAGTGTGGAAAGTGTGTACAAAGGGGAGGAGGTAGCTTCAGGGTTTGGCCACTAGGGGTCATTAGTCAAGGTTTTAACATATATTTAGGAAAGTGAAAGTCTATTCTTTGGCTTTGGCCCATAGATGTTCATTGATTAACTTCTCTCTCTCTCTCTCTCTCTCTCTTTAAGGACAACATAACCCGAATTTATTAACTTTAAGCAACAATAATTTAAGATACAAGAGTCTCATATTATAGGAATTCAAAGACTATACAATAAAAGGAAACTGACAAATGGTCAGCTAATACACAACCCAATCAGTTAACAAACAGGGCCAAAGATCAATACAAGTCATGCACCGTCTTCTGTGTAACACCTTGGGTTTTTTATTCCAAAGGTAGATTGATCTAAACTGGCTGTTAACTATACCTCTACCTGAAATTAACATTTGAATGGAACATATTTTAATAGAACCTACCAGCACTGATTTCCTACTGGTTAAAGAATTCACCAGGTGATGCTCATATTTAGCAAATGTTAGAATAGTTAGAACAATGTCTTCAAGATAATACTGGGTGATTTTTTCCCCCCAAACAAATAAAACCTAAATAGACATAGAGTAAAACATATTTTCTAATTAAAGAGACACGTAAAAATGATCAAGTCTCAACAGTACCTATTTACAAAGTTAGAAATAAACACAACATCTAGGAGAGCCCATTTCAGTTCTGGTTTTACCACTATTAATAGAAAAGCTGAGTCAGGTCACTTTGTCTAAGGATGACCTGAAAAGTCATAATAGCATCTTAAATCCAAAGACCCTTTAAGTCTTTTCATACCAAGTAGAAATTGAGGAAAGTACAATATGAGAAACAATGATACTGTTCCTCACATGTCACTGGATCACTAGTAGTCACCCAAATCACATCTCAATTCCCAGTGACTTAAGTTAGAAGCTCCTTGCCCTGAAAGACAACATTCTTGAGCAAGACATGCTGCCACCCTATCTGGGGTCCAGAATAAAATACACAAATTGTCTTCTACTGGCACCAGCTGACTAAAGTCTACATATGCACAGGACTGACTTAAAAATCTATTAAATACTTCAGTTCATTAAAGAAAACAAAATCTAAATTACATATGAATCAACAGAAGTTTAACTTTAGTTGTTTAGTGAATTTTGAATTGGCCATTAGTGGTAAATACAACACTTTGCATTTGTTGTAGAAACCAAACAAATCAGGCTTTTCCCTTGACAATACAATGATCATTTGTGTGTAAAGTGCCAGTTTTATTTACAAACTAGTTAATTAAGCTTTAAAGTCTTCTTTGTAGCAGTGAGACTGACACCTTAACTATCCAGTGGTTGTAACTGATGTTCAATCCTGCTGGGGCAGGCTTGCTTGAGGGTCCCTCACTTGGAAGCTGGGATTGTCATCATTAGTGCTTTGAAGCTGGACAGCTGCTTGCAAAAGCCAACAAGGATTCTGAGGTAGCTGCACAGTTTTTTAGATGCCATTAATCAACTTATGGACAATGGTATAGCTGGTGGATTCATTTTAGCTGATTTGGGGGGATGGGGGGTAGGTGATAAGGGAGGGGGAAAAATCAGCCAAATAAAAGCACATCCTCTGTTCATTTAAAAGTTAGCATCCAAGGTAAAAGAATTATCTGTTGGATTCGACATCACTCCCATCCTCTGATACTTGCCTACTCTCTTCTCAAAGAAGTTAGTCTTCCCTTCTAGTGAAATATTCTCCATAAAGTCAAATGGATTTTCTACTTTGAAAACCTTGTTAAAGCCCAGCTCCAGCATAAGCCTATCTGCCACAAAGTCAATGTACTGCTTCATCAAAGTGCAATTCATCCCAATTAGCTTCTCAGGCAAGGCTTCTGTGAGGAACGCCTGTTCTATTGTGACAGCATTGATAATTGTTTCTTTTACTCTCTGCTCTGATGGTTTGTGCAGCAGGTGTTTGAACATCAGGCAGGCAAAGTCACAGTGTAAGCCCTCATCTTTGCTAATAAGTTCATTGGAAAATGTGAGGCCAGGCATCAGTCCTCGTTTCTTGAGCAGAAAAGAAGATTCCCTCCACAGCAGCAAAGGCTACAACACGTTCTCCATAGGTAGCCTCTTTGTCCCCAATCAAACGCAAGGCCCAATCGGCTTTCTTCTTCACACAAGGCATTGTTACAATGGCATTGAAGAGAAATTCCCTTTCTTTGGAGTCTTTAATGTAAGTGTCAATAAGGAGACTATACATTTCAGAATGTATGTTTTCCATGGCAATTTGGAAGCCATAGAAACTGCGGGCTTCTGTAATTTGAACTTCTTGGCTAAATCGCTCCACCAAATTCTCATTTACTATGCCATCACTTGCCGCAGAGAAAGCCAGAAAGTGGGATATAAAATATCATTCCTCAGGCTTCAGGGCTTCCCAGTGCTGAATGTCCCTGGAAGAGCCACCTCCTCGGCTGTCCAAAAGGAAGCCTCAGCTTTATTACACATCTGCCAGATACCATGGTATTCCATAGGAAAGATGGCCAAGCGGCAGGGGTTCTTTCTCAGTAGTGGTTCATCCTCCACGCTGGGGGCAGCTACTTTAGTTTGGGCTCCACGGGATCCTGGAAGATCCTCCTCGCCGTCTTGCTGGCCAGGTCGTCAGTTGCACTGAGGGCCGGGGCGTGTTTTCCATGTCGGCCAGGCTGAGCCCCTTCAGCAGGGAGAGCTGCAGCTGCTGCTGGTCTGCGGTGGTGGCGAGTGGGGCGCGGACCCCGAGCATGGTGGTGGCGGTTGGCAGAGGTGGAGACAGCAGTGACCGACGTGGATAAGCAGGACCCTGAGCCTTCCCTTATCTCTTCCACCTTCAATCTACCAGCCTTTATGATTATGTTTAGTGCATCTCAGATTTTTCTTTTATATCCACGAGTGGAATTGCTGGATCATTTGGTTGTTCAATTTTTATTTTTTTTTTTGAAGAAACTCCATACTATTTCTCATGAAGGCTATATCAGTTTTCATTCCCGCCAACACTGTAAATTGTTCCCTTGAGTGCCATACTAAGTATCTCTTATCCTTGAGACTTAGAGTTCCAATTCATTTCAATGAACATTTACTCAAATACTGCAGCCAAATATTTTTCCCTAATGGTTTTTAAACCTACTTAGAGATGGTTGTACATGAAAGTCATGTAGATTTTACTTCATTTATAGTTTGAGTTTTAGTTCCTTTATTGTTTTAGGGGATCACAGCAGTATAGTATCCAATATTAATTTAGTTAATTATTTAACACTGAAATAGAAATGACAGTGATAAATTACTTAACTTCTTAGGTTAGCTTCACTGGAAAACTTTCTTATAGATACACGCTTTAGATCCATTTGCCTTTAGTCCTAAGAAGGGGGTTAAAAAGGTCAATGTGTGGAATAAATTCTGAGCTAAATGAATGGACTTACAGAGTCTTATCCTGAATCATTTTAGAATGTTATTATGATCACCTTTCCAAGAGGTGTGATTGCACATTGTCAGTTATGGAAACATTTCTTCAGATTTCTATTCTGTTAGTGCCATTACAGGTCTTATTCCAGAGGTGTCATAAACTTTAAAATATCACTATTATTATGTGCTGTTTTGTTTTATAATGATGTTTTCACTTAAGATGTTTTCCTAAATAATTTGTTTCCCATGTAATTTTCATAAGATAAATTATACTTAGATTTTAATATACTTATGACATGTCAAAACATATTAATAAGTATTATAAATTTTCAATCTTTTTTTTTTAAAGAGAGAGTGAGAGAGAGAGAATTTTAATATTTATTTTTTAGCGGACACAACATCTTTGTTTGTATGTGGTGCTGAGGATCGAACCCGGGCAGCAGGCATGCCAGGCGAGCGCGCTACCGCTTGAGCCACATCCCCAGCCCTAAATTTTCAATCTTGGGAAATAAAATCAAGATATTTTGGTCATTATACTACTTGAATTTATATAATTCAATTTGGCATTGAATGTTCAGGGTAAGTATATGTCTACTTTTACAGAAATTTTATTAATTTATAGTAAATTCAATATCATTACTTGTCTCCCTAGGAAAATGTGGCATAATTTTTAGAAAAGTGAACATTCAAGGGATCTAAAAACATAAAGATTTCTTTGTGGTTTTACTTTATTTCACCCAACTGAAGAGCTAAAGAAAACATGTCATTTATTTTTTATTAGAATAATGAAAGATATGATTACATTTTGGGTATAGTTTGTGAGCCATAGAAAGAAGGAGATGTGGAAGAAAGGAAGTGTTTAGAAAATTAAAATGGGAAGGCCTGTGAGAGGGTGAGAAGAGCCAAAAACCTGTATTAGTCCATTTTCTGTTGCTATAACAGAACATGAAGAGGAAAAGAAGTTATTTCTCACAGTTCTGAAGGCTGGGAATTCCAAATCCAAGGTGCCAGCACTTGGTGAGGGCTTCTTGCTGCATCATGACATGGCAGAGGGCACCACATGGAGAGAGCTCACTTTCCTAACAACCACTCCCATGGTAACAGTATTGAGCTAATTTGTGATGGTGGAGCCTGCATGGGTTAATACCTTAAGGGGCTTACCTTTGAATACTGTCGCAATGACAATTAAATTTCAGCAAGAGTTTTGAAGGGGACATCCAGACTATAGCGGACCCCTTCCCAGACCCCTTTATTTACAGATCTGGTGTCAGAGTTAAGAGAAAGGATTTTCATCATGTTCTTCCACAACTCAGTTGTGTGATAGTACAGAATAAGACAGACTGTGAGAGTTGCACAGGACTTTAGGAATCATTTACTACACCTCATCTGAGCTGAGGATTAGAGGGATTAGCAAAGGCCACACTTTCTCTTCAGGATTAAAATTCACTTCCTTTCAGCTGTCCTGGTCTGCTTTCCATAGAATATCACTGTCTCTTAAAATGATATGTCTGTGTCTTTTTTCTTCACTTACAGAATGCATGGATTGGATATTCTGTAAGATTCCTTATAATTTTAGAATTCTCTGCAGTTGTTCACTTTATGCTCCTAAATCTACAGTTTGTACAATACACAGAATTAAAATCACAGAGATCTGTAATGGAAAGTAGAGAAATTGAGATGGGCTTCATAGTCAAGATACTTTATTTCTGACAGGTTTTAGTTTCTTTTCACAGATCCATTTGTTTTCTGAATTACAGATCTCAGAAAATACTTTCATCTTTGAGATAGCAGCACAGCTGTTTTCTTTATTTTCACCAAAAATTTTTAATCTGAGGAGAAAAAGAAAAACCTCTCTTACTGTTTGGGATTTTCTCAAACATAATGATTTAAAATTTTAAGATAAAGTTAATATAAATCTCTGGAACTTCATCTTCACTTGGAAAGAAACCTTCTAAGAAGAAACTTGAGAACAAACACAGATATATATATATATATATATATATATATATATATATAATCATTGGAAACTGGGAATTAAACCTCCCAATTCCATAGTACATTCTATGAAGTCTCTTGACTTCATTGATCCTCAGTTTTCTTAAATACATGGGTTCTAACAACATGTTTGGGTGAGGCACTGAGATGAAACATAAATGTATGACAATGCTTAAACAAAAGTCTATTTTGGTAACTGAGACCTGATGAAGAAAGCCTATGTAAGGTCTATAGAAGTGGATTCAGGGGAATGGAGATGCAGTTCATGTGCATGTAGTCAGGGTTCCTTTCATCCTCATTCCAAGCAGAGGTTGGTGGGTATCTGCTTCAACCTACTTTAGTTCCAACAACAATGGATATTGTGGTTTATTGTAGGTGGGGATGAGAATAAAATTTGAACAATGGGAGGGGCTAATATGGGGTTGGCTGCAAGGGAAAGGTGAATTTAAGGCTCACTTATGTTTGTCTCAAACAGAAGGTGGTAGCGGCAGTGGTCAGGGCTCCATCATGGCTTTTGTTTTTCTCCTTTGTTCCTCTTCTTCATGTTCCCATTGGGCCTGAGCAGCTAATCTGATTTATTCCAGTGCCAGCCTTCTGGTCAAACCGTGAACTTTCCTTAACTGGACTGTTGGAAACATGCCCTAGATTTTATGTCTCACATCCTTTGAAGTATTTCTTCAATTTGGGGGGTAAATTCTTTAAGGCCAATCTGGCCAAGTCAATGACTCTCTTTCAAAAGGCCCTCAATGGCTTGCTGGTCCTTCCCTAACCAGATGTCTGATGAATTCTCGGACATTACCTTCTTTAATTCCCAAATAATTCTATAGAAATATATTATCCTCTCCTTTCTTTCCCTTTATTTGAAAACAAGGTTCTGGAAAGTTGAAATCAATTCAGAATTTAACTGAATCCCCTTTTCGTGTACCATGACGGCTTCTAAGGTGGACCTGATGACTACATCTCAAAGCTTCCAATTTTATCCTCAGGCTAAAGTAGGAGGCTCAACTGAATTTAATCCATCCACTGCATATATTTCTTCACAAACACTTATATGTTTTCAATTCTTATTTTTACTAAGACTACAATGAAATAAGCCTTTTACATCATAGCCCAGTTAAAACACACACACACACACACACACACACACACACTAACTATATTTAATGAATCTAAATCAATCCTTACTATGTATAAAAAGATAAATAATGAAGTCAAATTTAATATCTTTTTAAAGGGACTTTAACTACTAAACTACATTCCTAGAACTTTTAATTTATTTTGAGACAGGGTCTTGTATGTTGCTGAGGCTGGCCTTGAACTTTCTCAGCTTCCCAAGTAACATGGATTACAGGTGTGTGCCAGCATATCCAACTCAAACTTAATTTCAATATAAATATAGAAAAAAAATCCTCAGAAAACATTATGAAAAATCAGCATAGATTTGATTAAACAGATATATATTTTCTTTTTCAAAAGGGTTAAATTATTTTTGAATAATCTTCATTTTAAAATCTAATATTCAAAAAATGTTTTATAAGATGGGCTCTATAATGTCAAAATTTGCCAATTAAGCCAACATTCTTTTTAATGTTAAATATTGTCCATACTTAATATATTAGCACTGTATTTTACATAAACCTGAATGATTAAAAAATACATTTTAAGTCTGAAAGTATGCAAATTTAATTAAATTGTTCAAGATCCACTAAACTAACACTCAATATCACCTCTTGAGAAAAACTCATTGGATGTTCCTTACAGAAACTTGTTTGGATCCCTACGTGCTTTTGCTTGTGAAAGAAAAGAATACTCTGCTCTTTGCTATACAACTATCCATGAATTCTGTTAAAAATATGTATTTAACACTGAAGGCTTTCTTGACAATGTCATTCAATAAAAAAATGAGATACTTAAGAGAAAATAACAATTGGCTTCTTTGTGGTTTATGCATATATTATCACATTCCCCAAAATAACTGTCTAAATATACTATATATTATATAATATAATATACTATAATATAATATACTATAATGTTTGCCTCAATGCAGGTAGTCCCTGTCCTGCATCTAAGTTCCATACTCTGATATTTATTATTTTTTCCTTTATAGTCTTTTATTTTTTCAATGTTGGTTGGGACCTACTAAATTGGATCATGATCCACTATGATGCTTTTCCATCACAATTTAAAAAATACTGCTTTTTAAATTCTATGTGCCAATAGTCTCCATGGAGACATTTCAAAAGAAATTTATGTATCCCTCCCAAAGAGTTAGTCCTTGTCCTTTAACACTCCATTGCAGATGCAAACATATGTTCTTATAAAGGGCTGGTACATAGTATTCATAGTATTTTCCAATCAACTTTGGAGTTATTCATCTTCCCAGCCTATTTTGAACCTATGGAGAATGTCTAAGCCAAATTAAAACTATAAAATTCAGTTTTCAATATTCATTAATGTTACTACTTTGCAATGTGAACCTGATGTGAACTACATATTCAAATGAGCTCACCTAATACTCACATGTCATGATTTAATAAAGAGCCATTTATCCACTTCCACTTCTTCTCTGATAATGTAAAATTTAGTCCAATCCAATACAGATTTCCTTCATTCTTTATCAGGTTCTGAATGAATCTCTATAATTGAAACAAAATACATGACTTAATATTGAACCTGCTTATCTAACCATGATTTGTATTCTTCTCATCCCCTAAAATCTAGTTCAAGGATCACCTCCTCTCTGAAGTCTTTCCTAATTCCCCAACTCCCCAATGAGTTATTTCTTCCTTCTTTGTGATATTTTTCTCTACATATGTTTCTATTTATTTTTAATTTATTATATTATATTAAATTGTTATATGACTGTTCGGTCTCCCAAATTATGAGCTTCTCGAAGTCAAAGTTTCCACTTGCATTACACAGAAACTTTGGCTGAAGTCCAGCTGTATTGATGCAGTCTTTAAAATGTGTTAAGTTATATAAAGAATATTAATTAACAATTTACCAATTCTTCCTGATCTTGGATGAGCAGCAAACTGGATTCTCCTTGGGAGCAGTCAGCTAAACTGTCATTCCAAGTTTTGGAAGAACTAGAAATAGTGTAGCATTTATCTTGGAGCTGAAGCCAATGTTTAGGGCACTGTAACTGACGTGGTGTCTCTATAGTAAAAACAAAGAAGAAATAAGTAAGTATTGTATTTCTAATCTGTCCCTGCTGCACCCCAAACAGCACATATACGCGTTGTTATAAATACTCAGAAGTCTTTGATTATGACTATTACCATCTAAGGGTGCTGGGTTTGTTGTTTGTGTTCAGAAAAGAATTGAAGAACAGGACACAGAGGTAGCAAGCAAGAAGTAGGTTTATTACAAAAGCCACAGAGATACAGAGATAGACTTCTCCAAAGAGAAGGGGTCCCAGAGTGGGGAAGAATCTGGTGGGGGAGTTTTTGCCTGTTCTTTTTTTAAGAGAGAGAGAGAGAAATTTTTTAATATTTATTTTTAATTTTTTCCGTCGACACAACTTCTTTATTTTATTTTATGTGGTGCTGAGGATCGAATCCAGCGTCCTGCGCATGCCAGGCGAGGGCGCTACCACTTGAGCCACATCCCCAGCCCTTTGCCTGTTCTTTTTATGTTTTCTAGAATGTCCTCCTTTCCTTATCTCTTCCCCATCCACTCACACTCCTCACTGTTATTCATTGGTGCTCCCTCTATACATGCATCTGTTTTGTTTTACTCTTGATTATTAGCTGTTATTCTTAGGAAATTCAAGGCACAAAATTACCTGTTGTATAATTCCTCTTCTCTTGAATATCCACACTGCTCTTTTCCATTGGTGATTTTTGTGTTAAGGATATCACTTGTAAATAAAGGTGAAAATACATTAAGAGGGTTAGATACCCAAATGTGTGGTGGAATGGATATGTCATCACTTTAAGGAAAATAGGTTATTTCAACAAACTAATGTGAACAGATGAAACCAATTGTATTGTGGTGACCAAGGGTTCTAGTTTGGAGTCAGCATACATAAATAAACAAGAGAAAAACACAGAACAAGTAAACTCCTGCAGATATCAGGTTCTATATTATCTACTAGATAAGTCTGCTTAAGGAAATTATTTAAAACTGTTAAATTGCTTGTATTGTCGCCTGAACTCTCTCATCTTCAGAATGAGTGTAATTGTGGTTTTTCCGAGAGAGGACTTGTCTACTGCCATCTGGAATTAAGTAGGTACTTAATAAAAGGTACATAATTAGAATTTTTAATTTTCTGTTATAACAATCTTTGGTCACAACCATTATTGGAGCACATGTATGGGGTAATATACATAATCATGCTCAGAATAATTAGAAAGAGAAATGGGAAATAAATGTGAAGTTTCCAATGTGGACATGGGCTAAATGGGCAAAGTGTTTTCTTGTAAATTTTCATTTTGTTCATCTTTCAATAAATTTACAATAGCCAAATAATGATAAGATACACCTATATTTATGATGGAGATAGAGTAGATATTCTGAAGCAAATACCTTGCTTCACTTACCTAGAACACTCAACCCAATCACACTCAAGAGAAGAAGAATTATCCCAGCACAGCCAAGTTTCCAAGCCAGTTGGTGCCAAGGTGCACCCTGAGAGACATCTGGAAATTAAAACAAACAAACAAGCAAACAAAAAACTTGGCAAATTAGGTTGAGGACATCTGGCACAAAAAATCAAAAGTGGTGCTTTGTATAATCCAACATATAAACCATGAGATACAAGTTGAGTATTTGGGGCAGGAAAGAACCTTTATCAACCATCTTCAAAGTAGTATTACACAGGATAGATTCTTAGATCCGACTGAGAGTTTGCTCATTGATAAAACAGGAATACTTGCACATATTTTCTATATAAAGGATTAGTATGAGAATCAAATATGATAGATGTGAAGACATTTTGAAAATTTCCAAGCGCTATACAAAAATAAATTGCATATGCTATTGTAGCCAGAAAGTCAAAGCATTCTAAGGAGAACATTTACTTTTTAGTTGTAGTTGAACACAATACCTGTAGTTTATTTATTTATTTTTTTATATGGTGCTGAGGATTGAACCCATGGCCTTGCACATGCTAGGCGAGCACTCTACTGCTAAGTCACAACTGTAGCCCTCAAAATATAGTTTCTGAGGCTCCATTTAGTGCCAAGTACTATGTTAGGTACTGATGAAATACAATAATTCCATTCTGCTTTACTGTTCTAGAATAGTCATTGTTATGCTCGAATTCGGGACCCCCAAAGACCACCAGAGACCCAAGATTGATGTAAGCAGCAAAGAGGTGTTTATTGCAAGCTAGCTTGGTCCTCCGAGAGCACACACAGCAACTGGTGATGCTGAGAGGCCCGGAGCCCAGGGTTTGCAGCAGTTTTATACATTCTTTGGAGAGGGCAGAGACTTCACATACATCATAGCATCCCTTAGCAAATCATCACACACCGCGGGAAAATCAAATAACAACTCTAAAACATGATTAGCACATTCACTGGAGGGAACAAGTTAGGTAGGGGTGATTGGTCAGTACAAAAGGGATATTCGTTTGAACTGATTGGTTTGAGCCAAGAGGGGTGTATGTGCTGAACTACATGGTTTCCCAACTTGCTATCAACCACCATAAACCACTGGCATCCCAGGTATTTCCCTGTCTCATGCTGATTGGTGGCTGCTAGGGGGCTGCTATGGATCCCCACCTAGCCTGACTGAGACAGGGACACCTGGCGCAGCAGATCTCTCCTGTTATTTGTAGATAAACAACTCAGCAGGGTGGGAATGTGCTTAGGAGTGCTCTGTGGGTCTTTCCAAGGACTAAGGTCATGTCCCTTCCCTGGACAGGCTTTGCTCTGAGATAGAGGCTGGTTTTTCAGTCATCTCCAAATCTTGCCAAACGTATGGCATTCAAGGAAGAATATTTTGTTAGTGAGGACATTATTTTCAGTATTTCTTATCTAAGGGAATATTTTAAGCCCCTTCAAGGATGTCTGAAACTATGAACAGTAACAAGATCTCTATTCACTGTCTTTTACACACATGCACTTTTCCATGTTAACCAAGCACTCACCACACATTATGGCTGTAACTTTTGCTGTTTAAAATGAGAAAGCAAAACCAGCTGGATTTCTCTTTCCTTCTTCACAATTTCATGGGTAGAAGATTTGTTATTACACAGATCAGCAACCTCAGAATAAGATATTTGTTCTTGCCTTAATTAGAGGACTTTCACAATACCATTTATAAGAAGCTCTTTATGGCTTGTCTTTAGAACAACTGAATTGTTCACACCACTACTTTTGCATCTGGGGCCACAATTCAGATAAGGGTAATTTGAACACCATAACTGTGACTAACAGGTGGGTCACAAAGGTGTGATTCATTTCCAGGGGAAGGATGGTTTAAGATTTCATCCTGCTACTGAGAACAACATGAAGTTGAAAACATGAATTATTTATGTCTGGATTTTTCTATTTAACATTTTTAGACCAATGTTGACCACAGGAAACTGAAACTGCAGAAAGCAAATCTACAGATAAGGAGAGACTGCAGTTGTTAAATGTAACATGTACTTAAGCCTAAAACATTGCATGGTCTAAACAAAATACCTGACATCTTTGTTTTTCTAAGTAATCATATCAGTAACTATATAATATCTCATGTTTATCAGACATTGAGATTATGTTAATTAATTTATGAAATGTGATTATAAATTAATCTAATGTCAATTTATTTTGCTTCAAGACAATGTTAAAAACAGGGATTTCATAGGGAAAAACAATAAAGAGGGGCTTATTTAAAAAATACAAATATAGAGAAACACTGGGATACAGCTTCCCAAGTTAAATCAAGTTAGCAGGAAACAATTCTGATAGTTTCTGTCTAAGCTATTCTGTTCAAACTTAGACTTAACTACCTCCTTTATGTGATTTAATTGTAAGATCTCCTCGTTTTGATTTATAATGTATTTCATAAGTTCCTTTGTATGTTGCTTTTTAAAATTATTATTGGGACCAAGATCACTAGAAGTAATGGTTTCTAATTTATCTTTAGCTGTCAACATATACATTTTCTATTTTTCTAATATTTCTTAGTGTAGATGATTACCTGCTTTGAGTTAAATGTTAAAAAATTTTAACATCCAATATGTATAATACTGTCTTTTGTTCTCATTACATTACATATTCCAAAAAGCCCTATATGGCAAGTTCTACTTTTTTTTTTTTTTTTAATACTGCCACTGGGGGGAAATTGAGTTGTATAACTCAGATTGCACACAAACACTAATGATTTCTCCTATTAAAGTTATGACATTCACACACATGAGTTAGCTTTTTAAAAAATGTTCTCAAACAGAATTTAGTACAATCATCCCCCTTATCCTTGGGTTTCATATCTGCACATTCAAATAACTACAGATCAAAAATATTCACAGGCAATGGGCTGGGGATGTGGCTCAAGCAGTAGGGTGCTTGCCTGGCATGTGTGTGGCCCGGGTTCCATCCTCAGCACCACATACTGAAAGACCTAAGCAATCTTATTCTGCTTGGGACCTCATTTTGCTCTGAAACTTAACCTCTGACCTACTGTAGTCCTAAAGTCAGGAAAATACTCCAGAAAAGCTCTGTGGAAACAGTTCGGAAATGCCTCAGATGGTGATCACCTAAGATAGGCCAAGATAACCACATATCTGAAATTCCAGATGGCCCCCACCTAGGTGTGGTGATCCCTATCTAAACTAGAAGCCCTGCAGTTTGGCACTTACTCCCCTTGCTACATCCTCATGATTTAAACCAATCAGTTCAAATGAATCCCCCTCTTGTAGTGACCAATCACCCCTACCCAACTTGTTCCCGCCAGTGAATGTGCTAATCATGTTTTATAGTTGTTATTTGATTTTCCCTTGGTGTGTGATGATTTGCTAGGAGATGCTATGACGTATGTGGGGGTCCCTGCCTTCTCCAAAGAATGTATAAAACTGCTGTAAACCCTGAGCTTGGGGCCTCTTAGCGTCACCTGTTGCTGTGTGTGCACAGAGGACCGAGCTAGCTTGCAATAAACACCTCTTTGCTGCTTACATCGATCTTGGGTCTCTGGTGGTCTTTTGGGGGTCCCGAATTCGAGCATAACAATACAAAGATGTTGTATCCGCCAAATACCAAAAAATAAATATTAAAATTCTCTCTCTCTCCCTCTCTCTCTCACTCTTTCTTTTTAAAAAAAATATTCATAGGCAAAACATATTGCACCCATTCTGGAAATATATCTGTTTTTTCCCTAAACAATGCACCTTAGCAACTATTTAAATAGTGTTTAAATTATCTTAGTTACTGTAAGTAACCTGATATAACTTAAGCATTCAAGAATATGCACATAATATGTATACAAACACTATAACATTTTAAATGTGATTTGAGCATCCATAGATTTTGGTATATACAGAGATTCTCATATCAGTCCTCTGTGGATGCTGAGGAAGGGTTGTAGAGTAAAATATGACAAAGGAATGCTATGGAAGGAAACATTACATTAGACTCAAAGAATTGGAATGTAAGTTATCATCTGGCACTATTTGGCACCTGTTGAATAAGTGGAGGTGGGGATTGGAGTAGACAACTGGAGGAAACTCCAAGGCCCCAGAGCCAGTACTGGTCTAGAATTTCTAATAAAAGCTATTGTGACCCAGAGTGACTCAACCCAGTGAATAAGCCTAAAATAGCACTAGGATGGATTTCCTTCTCATTTTATATATGTATAGTATTTTACATTTCTGTCTTTTTTCTTCCTTAGTCATGTCTCCTTGGAACTCCAAGTTTGTTTGCAAAATGAAGAAAATTTCATACAGTCATTACACTAATGCTTATCACCTTAGTCTAGAATTGACTAAGAACAGAGTTTTTTTTTCCAAATCTAGCAGACCTGAGATTTGAGACAATATGTTCAATCTTCATAAACCACAAATTTTCTCACTTGTAAAATTGGATAATACCTACATCACAGGTTTTGTAGAAAATTATATAAAATAATTCTAAAATTCTAAGTCTAGAGTCTGGGACATTGTAACTATTCAATTAGTAGTTTTTTGTTTTGTCTAAAAAAAAAATAGGGCAACTTAAGTGACTTTTAAATTGTGTTATTCATTCATGCTAAAATTTATGAAATCAAGTGGAGTATCTTATTCCTGCTCTCTGGTAGTAAGAGTTTCTGCTGAGATTAAATTTAATGAAGTTACAGCTGAGCACTGGAAGAGGCCAGGTGAAATTTAGTTACCTGAAGGTACCTGCTTAGGGCTAATTTGTATTTGGTATAAACAGTATATTATATCATATCCATTGTTCAAAACCTTTAAATAGCTTTCCATCTAGCAGACCTGAGTATACAAAATGGTTTGAAAATTCCTCTTCAATCTGGGTCAACATTACCTGATTTTCTCTCCATCTGCTCATATATGCTGCCTGCATATTCCTCCTACTTGATGAACATGTGTGTTCTCATCCCAAGTTTTCTGCATTTGCTCATCCAACTTCTTGGAAGGCTTTTGTCCCAGAGCATGGCTTTGTCCCTCACTTTCCTCAGGTCTTGACTTCCATATCATCTTCTAGTGCAGGTTGTTAATAATTTTTGTGTTTTCTGTGACACCATCTCAAAAACCTAAATACTAATTTGCACTTGAAACTTTTTTTTCTCACTAGCACTTACCACCATCCAGTCTTCTACACAGACTTTGGCTTTTGTTTATTGTTTGCATACCTCCAGGGTAATAGAAACAGCAAAAAAATTCTCTTATCTTATTTTCTTCCCTGTCCTTAGTGTTTAGAGCATTCTTGGCATGTGCAGATGCTTCTTTGTGAATGAATAAATAACCTCTAGAGGCAATTTCCATAGCTTTTACGCTTTTTTCTGATACATAAAGCCTTTTTGGCCACTTGACCACAAGTGAAACACCTCTCCCTTTCTGGTTTCCTTGACTGTCTTGATCCACCTCATCACTGTGTTACACATTTGCCACAACACGAATAGTTTAGCCAAAGAGTCCATAATAGAACAATCTTCACACTATCACTTCGGTATTCTATAGTCACACCATTTGCTCTGGTTTATTCTACTATTTTTTTTTTTTTTTGAGATTTATATTCAGGGTGATATTTTGTATGAGAACAATTGTAATCAGAGTAGACAAATTTTCCAAGATTACAGAAGGTAATGTTTGGACAAAGCCTCAAAACATTTCTCTATGTTCAGTTCATTTTCTGATCCCCCTTTAAACAAGCCCACCAATCCACTTTTCCCATACCTGAACAGAGGAAAACAGAGACTTGTTTTGTCCCATCAGAAAAAATGACTGGCTCACTCATTTTCTCCCTGTAGTTATCAAAACCTTCTGATTTCCTCTTATTCCAAGTGTTGATTATAGTGCAACTTGTTTGATGACTGTAAGATTTTCTTCTTCATGACTTAAAGCTTTGATAATTTAATAGTTTCAAACTTATAACAAGAATTACTAAAAATTATGATTCATATGACTGCTGTAATATGAAATGAATATCAACTTGGAAATCAATTGTAATGTTATTGATGTCAATAAATTCAACTATACTGCAGAAGGTAATACTACATCACGGCAATTTTATACACATTTTCTGCTTCAGTTTCTAGCCTCCTCATGTGTCCCCAGGTCAGGCCATCATATTTTATGTCTCATTAGCCTTTCTATTTCTTTCACTAAGATTACTAAATCCCCTGACATAAAGAAGTGTGCCAATTTCCACAAAATTTAAATGGGCTTATTGTTACTAATATGCTCCAGTATCTTGTGACCATTTAAGTTGTTATGCTTTTCAAGTTAGAAACTATTGGGTTGGAATTATACTTCAAGTCTTTGATCTTGAATATGACTATCTCTCTTCTCTTTGGAAGGAAGAGGGTGTTAATTACTAAGTCTGAACTTTGCATACTGACAGAAATGCTGTAGATGCAACTGCACTGCAATTTAATTGTAGGATTATTATTTTTCAGCGGGATTTAGAATAATCTAAGTTGTTATTACAGCAAGCTTACAATGTCTCTCTTAAAACTTTCCTTTGTTCGAATATGTAAAATATTATGTTTTACGGTCATTCATCTCAGACTCAATAAGCCACACGATCATATTTCATGCTGAATACCTTGATAAAATAAATTTACACTATTTTTTTTGTCAAAAATCATTATCTACAAGCAAACTATACTACACCTAAAACTAACATAGAACAACTGATTTTCTTTCCAGAAATAATTTAAAACCATAAACGTAAAAGAAAAATCTAACTCTGGTTATATTTAAGCCAAAAGGAGACATAAAGCCACTTACCTTGGGGAAGAGATAGAGGTATAGAACTTTCAGGACCTTGGCCCCTGGATAAGCTTAAATCAGCATATACCACCTGTCTGTCCATTGCAGACTGGGGAATATGGAACAAATTTGTGTAGAAGGGCAAGACTGAAGTTCTATGAAGCAAGTTCAGGAAAAGGAAATGCCCTATCTGAATGCTTTGGTGTTTCTATTATGTCCCCACCCCCCATACTTCTCTTTGAGGGTTTTCACCATAAACTATTGAGCTAATCCATTTACTGGTGTCCACTTTACTTACACATGTATTATCTGTCTTTTTAATTAATTGGTCTGTTCTATAACAAATATCTGGAAAGGCTTCTTTATTCTTGTTCCACTATTTTGGGGGCCAAGCCCAGAGTGAAGCAAATGAGGCACTTATGTAAGGTTCAAATATAAAGATATTCCCCAAGTACTAAGCAATTAAGATAAATAATGCCTAATACAAAGTACATAAATTCATACCAAAAAAAGTCCATAATACTATTTGAATTGAACTGAAGTTCTATGGTATTTCTAAAATATTTGTGCCCCAAAGAAAATTATGACATTCAAAAAAGTGAAGCTACCAATTTGGGAAAGAATTATTAATAATACAACAGAAAAAGTAATGAGAAGAAGATCAACAGAATACTCTTAACTTAGTTCTAAAGGCACACATAGATTAATAAATCTCCACATGAGGCTAAGTATTTGAAATCTCTCAGAATTAGAGAAAGTGGAGGACTTGAGTCTGTGGCATTTTTCAACTACATCAAAGATTTTCAGGCCTAGAGCCTTAGAGTATGAACTTAAATGTCAGCAAATCTTCTTTCTTACATTACAAATGAAAAGGAAGAGGAAATTCAAGTATTTCCCCAAAGACATTTTCTGTGATCAGAATAGAATTATACTAGGTCCACAAAATTACCTGACAGTGAAAGCAGTCTTCAGGCCTTGAACCCCAGAATATAGGAAGGATCCATTCATAGCTGAAAATGTTTATTTTGTCAGTTATGGGGCACACACTTGTTCCCTAAAGATCATTATGGATCATTATTAAATGAGATGTGTGAGTGTCTCACAACCCACTTTTTAATGATTCAATTGAAATGCTTTTCAACTATCTTATTACTTGATAATGAGCAGTCATTTTACTTATGATAGCACAATGGCCCTGCTATATACCTCATCCAAATTTTTAAGATTTTTAGGAGTTATGGTACAATGTACTGGGTAAGGTTTGAGTATGAGGTGTCCCCTAAGAGCTCACTGTGAGACAATGTAAGAATTTTCAGTGGATAACTGATCAAGTTTATAAAATCTATAACCTAATCAGTGCATTAATCCACTTGAATGGACTAAATGGGTGGCAGTGGGCAGACAGGGTGTGACTGGAGGAAGAAGGTCACAAGGAGTGCTCCTTTTGTGCCTGATGAGATCTCTCTCTCTCTCTCTCTCTCTCTCTCTCTCTCTCTCTCTCTCTCTGCTTTTTGGCTGTCATGAACTGAGCAGCTTTTCTCTGCCACATTCTTCTGCTTCACTTTGGACCTAGAACTATGAAGGGAGCCAATCATGGACTGAACCACTGAGACCACGAACCAAAATGAACTTTTCTTTCTCTAAATTTTTCCAGTTAGGTCTGTTGGCCACAGTGACACAAAGCTGACTAAAACATGGATCAAATACAGAGAATAATTCTATGTATTTAGAGAACAATTGTAAAGCTTCAGGATATATAAGAATCACCTGCCAGGGGCCAGGGCTATGGCTTAGTGGTAGAGGGCCCACTGACTATGCATAAGGCACTGGGTTCGATACCCAGCACCACATTAAAAATAAAAACAAATAAAATAAAGATATTATGTCCATCTACAACAAAAATATAGTTTAAAAAAGGAATCACCTATCAACTTGCAAATAATGCATATTTGTTGTGAAACAAACCCAAATAAGCCCAATATACTGTTATACTGAGGTGGAGAATGCTAAATCACTCCAAGTATTTCAGCTTGTTTATGGGCCACACTTAAAGAAGCAATTAAGTGGCAAGTGAAAAATGAGGGATATGTTAGAAAGATCAGTAGAGTGACTGGAAGTCTGGGGATCTAGTCAGGAGACTAAAATAATGCATTTGGGGCACTGAAGTTCAACTTAAGGTTCTGAAGCATGACTGTGTCTTGTAGGCATTTACAAAGGACATATTAAGAATAACTGATGTAAGGTAAAATGTTCTTCAACAGAAGATTCAGACAGATGTTTTCAAATGCCTCTAAGCTCCAAAAATGTAAGCTAATTAGGGATATTAACCAATTCACTCATCCATATGTAGCATGAAACATATTATAGATCACACCTAAAAATAAATCCCTCCTGAGAATTCACACCTTGAGAATTTATCTAGCCCGTGTTAAATTCTTTTGAGCTCCTAATTGCATAAATGAATATTTTATTGCAAAATATATCAGAATTTAAGAATATTTTGATCTTGTCACTATAAAATATAAGGAGGGATTATACACACATAATATGATCAAAGGTAAAGAATTCAAATGGCAACTATCACAAGTAATCTTTGGCTTTCTAATGCAATGAAATAAAGTAAAATCAAGTATCTCAAGGAATAATAAAGACAGTTTCTGACCAAGTAACCTATTTTGATACTGAACTTGGTCAAGTTAACTCCAGGAGTTGGCACATATAGAAATGTGGAGCTTAAATATAAACAATATCATTCTTGATGTGAAAAATTATAAAAGAGACCAGTAGATGGCCACAAAAATAAGAGGAATAAAGAAGTAATTTTGAGCAAGAATGTCAAAATACAAAAGCCAGCAAATGATAATTATGAGCCAAGAGAATGAATTTCAAGCTGTAAAATACACAAGAAAGGAAGGACATCAGAAGATGGCACACTAAGAAGTTAGAAGACCTTCTTCCCCCAGAGACACTGCATTGGCACTATATAGACAAGAAGGCCTCTGTGAGAAGTCTAAAGACTGGTTGAGAAGTTACAACACCAGCCTATCATAAAAATCAAGAAGAGATAACAAAGAAAATAGCAGAGAAACTTGTGACAATTGGCATCTCATTCATGCACCTCTCCTATGCACCATACTGTAGAGAAACTAGGAGGAACAACCTCATACGGGGGCTCCTCCTTCTCATTGAAAACAAAAATCGGCCTCAAATCCATAGTGCTGGCTTGTGTTCCCCCCTACCCCCAAACACAAACCTTCATGCTCTAGACAGTGTAATGCTGTACATCATAAGGTCTTCACCAGAGACTAAACTGATGGGAACACCAGAACTTGGACTTTCAGCCTCCCAAACTGTGGGATAAGAAAACCTCTTTTCTTTATATTTTCCCCAACCTCACTTTTTTTTTCACCATAGAAACCAAAAATGAATCAATACAGACGATATATCCAAAGTGCTGAAAAGCAAATTAATGTCAAACAAGAATACTGTATTCAGCAAACTATCCCTCAAAATAAAGAAGAAATTAAGACTTTTTCAAATACACAAAATCAGAGAGAGTTCATTATTACTAGACCTGCTTCAAAGGTAATGATAAAGTATTCTTTGGAATCAAAACAATAATAAGCAGCAAAACAAAACCATTAAACTACAAATATGAGCAAATACCATAACCCATGCAATTATCATTTTGGTATAGAAGTTTCAAATGAGAAAACTATACAAAAAATATAATTTTATGCTGTGCAACATACAAGAATTTGCAATTTCAGTAACATGAAGTGTTGGAGTTGTGGATCTGCAAAGTTGTACTGTGTTTGTATGTGATTAAATTGCTACCAGTTTAAAACAGAATATTATATCTTTAGGATGATTTAAATAATTGCAACCATAATCACAAATTATCTGTAGAATAAACAACAGGATATAAGAAGAAAATTCAAGACTATAACTACAAAACATCAATAAAGCATATCAGTAAAAGAGTAAATGAGTGAGGAAAAAAGCCACAACCCTACATGAAACAAACAAAATGGCAGAACAGGTCCTTTTCCATGAGCAATTACTTTAAATATAAATTAATTAAACTTCCCAATCATAGGACATAAGCTTGGTGAATGGATAAAAAAGAAAGATCCAATTAAATGCTAAAAGATTTACTTGAGACCTAAGAATATATTGAATATCAAAAAAATATTCAATGTGAATTGTAACAAAATGAGAGGAAGATTGGTGTACTAATATCAGGCAAATGACCTAAATAAAAACTATTACAAAAGACAAAGAAGGACATTTGATAAAGAAAATAAGGCTAGTTTCTTAAGAATAATGTCAATTATGAATACTTAGGTACCAAAACTATGATTCGTGAATAGAAGAAGCTGATTTTAAAAGAATTAAAAAGCTAAATAGATACAATACTAGAAGGAAATCCCAATACCCCATAGTCAATAGTTGACAAAAGAACCAGACAGAAGATCAATAAGGAAATAAAGGACTAGAAGAACATTAGGATCCAACTGGACCTATCAGACAGGTACAGAATACTCCAACCACCACCACCACCAGAATATACATTCTTTCCTAGTGCACCTGGAACATTCTGCAGGATACAGCATGTATAAAGCCATGAAACAACATTAACAAATTTAAAAACATTGAAATGAGGGCTGGGATTGTTGCTCAGCAGTAGAGCACTTGCCTAGCATGTGCGAGGCCCTGGGTTCAATCCTCAGCACCACATAAGAATAAATAAAACATAAAATAAAGGTATTATGTCCAACTACAACTAAAAAAATAAATATTAAAAAAATTTAAATGATACAAAGTGCCTTTTCCAGTTATAGTGAAGTAAATTGATAATCCATAGTTTAAGAAAAAGTGGAAATTCCACAAATTTTTAGAATTGAAATAATTCACTCTTGGAGCTGGAGTTGTAGTTCAGTGGTGAGGCACAGGGTTCAATTCTCAGCACCACATATGAATAAGTAAATAAAAAAGGTCCATTAATAACTAATAAAAGTATTTAAAAATATAATTCATCCTTAAGAATTCAAAGGATCAAAGAATAAGTCAAGTGTCAATTAGGAAATAACTTGAGACAAATGTAATCAAAACCCAATATACCAAAATTCATTTGCAGTAAAAACAGTGTTAAAATGGA